TGAAGTAATTTGGATTAAGCCGTGAATGTATTGCACAATAGCTAATAATATCTTTATTATTTGCATCCATATCTATGGTCATAATGTATAGTCAAACATATTTTATAAAATAGATTCAGTATTTTATATATCATATAATACGGTATATATAACAGATTATTTAGCGTTTGTAAATTGTAATTAAATAAGAAAAAGTTATTTTAGAGAAATTTTCACCAAAAAAATAAGCCAGACAAGTTTAGCTTACTTTTTTGCATGCTATAGTAAAACAGTGAAAATATAATAAATTTTATTTAGTAAGCAAATGTTAAATATCTAAATTTTAGTAAAATACATAAAATTAATGGAAAAAATACAAGTAATTTGTTAGCAATTTTTTAAGGAAACAACAATTGGTACAGTTTTATTTGTTATATACTGTATATAATACTATATATATTGTTTATTTATATCTTACGCTTTTTTACAAATTAAACCCATAGTAATAATATTGTTGTTATACTAACATAAAAGGTTTACATGGATTAGACTCTATTGTAGATTACGTTAGATTCAATGTACGGCTAAATTGATTGCATACCATATCATAAAAAACTTTATATTTTACATACAGTATATGCTTAATATTATTATATCATTTTTTTATGTGCTACTACTGTATATAATTTTTTTAATTTATAAATAATATTATAGACATTATAAGGCAAACAATTTTAAATATTGCTTACATCATTTTATTATTATTATAAAATACAGTATCGTATTTTAAGTTTTAATATTATTATTTTGCTTATTTAAATTTAATATTTGATAGTCGATACAAATAATATTCTAATTGTCACTTCATTAATTAATTAATAGATTTTCATCAATTTACTATATATATAAATAATTATATTGCGGTATTATAGTGTATTGTATATGAAAAACTTATCCAAACTTTATTTATCAGATAAAAACCAAAATAAAAACGAAAATACTTTTTTAGTGTTCACTCAACTGTAATGAATGATAGTCTCAGACCATAACCAATGCCATTGAATGCTTCAAAACTTAATTCAATAAACAATAAATAAAGGTTTACTATATATATGTAACAGAATTTACTACATTTGTTTGAAACCCAGAATATACTGTTAATAGTTTAGTCAAACGAGAAACAACTTTATATAAACATAGTATGGTATGTATTATAAGATATTTGATTTATTGTTTTCAAATAATTAAAAGTGTTTTAAGTCTAGTTAGTTATAAATGATTTGATCCCAATTTTCTAATATTAACGAATCGTTTGATGTTATTTTTTTTGTTGATTTAATTTTATACTTAATTTATAGCTCTAAATAAAATAGTTAATTAAATATTAATCCAATAAAAATACTTAATATTTTTAGCGTCAAATCTATAGATTTTTGTCTTGAAATTCTTGCTTTATTTTTATTAAGCTATTGATTGTATGATTAATAAACAAAATAATTTACGGGATGTTGTAATGAAATTATTGCGTGCATTCACTTCTAGTATGGTTTAGTCTCTCAATAGATTTCAAATCTAATAAAAACAAGACATATATAATATATACGTATATAATGTAGACTTTACATACGTCTATAATTATATTATATTAGATATTCATTTTTTAATTACATTTATTCAGTCGTATGTAAATAAAGTAATAATTATTATATAATATTTTTGTATATAAATATATTATTATTATATTTATGAGTTATCAAATTTTAAATATTTTTGTAACTTTTTATTAAATAGTTTAGGTTGTAACACAATTTAATTATTATGTTTCAAATATGTCTTCAATATGTTTACAAATATAAAGCAAAATACACTATAAAAATATATAGTGCTTTTGTATAGCATAAACAAAAATGCTAATTTTATATCAACTAATTCAATACATTTTAAAATCATTATAACAGTAATATTGCATTAAAGGTATTTTGAAAATTTTATTAAAAACTTTAAAGAAATGCTTTTATAAGCACACACTAGAGATAACAAAAAAATTTAATTTCAATTATTAAATTATTTTAAATGAATATTCTTTAATACAATAATGACCTGAATATACAAATGTTTGAAATTGTTTTGATACTCTTATACATAAAATCAATATTATGTCTAAAAATTCCTAATAAAAGTAAAAAATTAAAACATTACTTATTAATTAATGTGCAGAAAACTGTTTAGCATGTTTTGCAGCAATTATTATTGACAGAATAATTATTTATTTATGTTTTCAAATTAAAATAAAATTATATACAAAAACCTTATACCTATAAACATATAACAATTAATGACAGATCAAAGTCAAGCAAACCTTATTTTTGATGAAATAAAGCATAGAGAGAGTGATATAACTATTTTTAGTACTATAACCTTATTATTGATTCTCTCATTATTTTGTTGTTAACTCTAATATATTTATAAACTTTGTATATATTTTGATTCACATAATTAGTACTTTAATGAAAATACTTTCAATATTTATAAAATTAAAAATACTATAGCTGTATTAAGTTAATTTTATTATTGGATATAATAAATATTTTTTTTAGAAATACTAAAATAGATATACAATGATATTGTAATATATATATATATATTTACAGTACTTCATTTATTAAAAGTTATATATAAATATATATATTTTATTTAGTTATATAAATATAAAGCACATATTATTATATTTGATTGAAGATATTTGTTGTAATCGTGTATTATTGAAAATATAACTAAAGTATCAACTATTTGGTTGCATAACTCAATCAAAGTCTGCTATAATCACGTACTCGTGAAACGTGTTTATCTGATGTCTGATAGACTAATGAAATACACGACTAACTCTTCATTCAAGCGATTCATCACTAATTTGATCCCAAATTTTGATCGACACCGACATTCAAATCACAACACTATCCACTTTCATCTAATATTATTTATGACATTTATTAATCTTTTTATTTAAATTGGTATTAACACCAAAATGAACTATTTTAATAAATAATATATATATATAATATAGAGGTATATAAGTTTATAGTCTACAATTAAATATATTGTTATATTATTGTTATATTTTATATTCAAAATCTTGTTTAAAATTTTTCTAAAGCTATTTTGATTTTATTAAATAACATAAGTATTAATAACTTAAATACAATGGTTATATCTAAAATATAGTAAATAATTTTAAAATTTTAAAGATAATTAGTAAAATGTAAATGATCAATATATATGATCAAGATAATTTATATATAGTACATACAATTACAATAATTATTTCAAAACAATAGCAAATCGGATATAATTTTTATCCAAAAATATCACCAAGCTTTATTCATAGTTAATTATTAAAATTTTATATTGAAATGCTTGAGATCAGATAATACATGTAAACTTTTTAAAAAATTATTTGTTAGATCTTTAGTATAATTAGAGATGGGCAAATAGAAAGTTTCTAATAAATTTCCTGAGAAAGTTTCTAGAAAGTTTCTCAGGAATAAATTTCTATAGAAATTTAACTTTTTTGTTATACTATGGGATCCCCATATCTATAGATATTGTAAAACTATAAATATATTAATGAGACATATAATACTATACATATAATATTATACTATATAATGTAGATTACTGTATAATACTATATTATACAAATGGGATACCTATATAAATAATTATAATTATTTAATAATAATCAGTTTTGTAAAATTTTATTCACCATTTTATTATATCATAGTTTAATATAATTAAATAAATAATTTTTTTACTTTAATTAATAATTAAAATACTGATACTAATATTTAAATATTACTTATAAAAACAATGTTAAAGATAACAAATATCGAGAAAACAAAATTAACCATGGGGATCCCATAAATAGAAATTTCTTTTAGAAACTTTCTAGAAATTTCTCTATTATTTTATAAATTTCTCTTTTTTGCCAACACTAAGTATAATGCATTTTGAGTATAATAAATGTATACACAATAATGTAATGTAATATATAGGAATAGCTACCAGTATTATAAATATTATCTATCAATAAATTATTGACACATTATATACACAAAAAACACTACAATATAAATAAACCATTTATAGACTCAAATATGTTTGTGAATAAAAATAAACTAAAAAATTTAAATGTAATGTAATGTTGACTCTATTTATGATATATTGAAGGTGTGAGTCAACTCTCTAAACTATTTTGCATTTTGCATAATATATCTTATAAATAGATATGAATTGCTTTTTTAATAATATAACACAAAAATTTATATACACTAATAAAGCAATAGTTGCCAACACGTGACCAGAATTGGTTTTGTTATAAATAAAAACTATAAAAATACAAAAACTATAATACAACTCAATTATGCTATAAACTAATGATTATTACAAATTTCAATTCACTCCAGTCCTCAAATTATTGTACTACCAGTGCTCTGTCCATACCATTGCTTGAGGTTATACAGCTGTTCATTATTATAGTAAAATATAGAAATGATTATATCATTATAGTAGTAGTAGTAGTAGTAGTGGGATGTGAGGGTCACTTTGGATATGGAAAGTATTGCACTAATAGTTTGATTTTTGTTAGCAATTCAAAACTCCATAACTACTGAACTATAATATTAATAATAATGTATATTATAATAGCAACACATAATATAAAAGTGTGTAATTAGCTTTGATTAATAATAAGAGCCATATTTTATAATAGCTTTTAAATATGTTTTCTCAGTTATTATCATTATATTATCAAAAATATGTAAAATTATTCTTCTAATGATAAATGAGATACAAAAATGAGTTGGAATTTAAATGTTTTTAATTGTTGTTAAATATCTAATTGTTTTTTTTCAAATACATAATAATTTTCTAATGAATTTTATGAAAATAAAATATTAATAAATAACAGTAACATTACTTTCTTATAACTCGCTTTCATATAATTATTATTCTTATTGATGAAGACTTATTTGATGGCGAAGAGCTGCCAGAGTTTGGTGATGTCATACCCAACATAACTGTTCCCATTGGAAGAGAATCAAGAATGCCGTGTGTTGTCAATAACTTGGGCTCATATCGTGTATGACTAATATAATCTTTCATATATATATATATATATATATAGTGTATATATTTTATAAACTATATACTGTATATAAAATTTATTTTTAATAAAATAAAATTTTTAAAAATGATAATAATATAAGTAATTGTTTGATTAGGCGGCGTGGCTGAGGGTCGAGGAAAAAGATATCTTAACAATACATCATCACGTGATTACACGCAACTATCGGATAAATTTATTGGACAATCATAATGATAATCGTAATTTTATTTTGGTTATCAAAAATGTCCAGGTAATCTTATATATATAATATACACTATTGGTTAGGCTATGTTTATACTATACACTGTTATGTTTGGTTTGATACCATTAACTTGTTAGGACCACTCCTGTAATAATAATCATAATAAAACACTAGTAAGTTATTTACATTTAGCCATAACATGATAATAGACAAAACCAATATATCATGCGATTATTAAAAACAATAAAATTAATTTATGACTTAATAGTCACATAAAATACTGTTATATACATTGTACTTATAATTTTAAATAACTATACTATAGTTACTATAACATTGAATACTAAAACATTTATTTAATCACACAATTCATTGCACAGGAATCCGATCGCGGAGGGTATGTGTCTGTCACTAATTATTACCATAATTGATGTATTTTATGAATAATTAATACATTTTATTAGATATATGTGTCAAATAAATACCGTTCCTATGAAAAGTCAAATCGGATATTTGGATGTATTGGTACCGCCAGACATACTGATCAATGAAACCAGTAATGATGTCGTTGTAAATGAAGGTTCAGATGTTTCGCTCAGATGTCGAGCCAAAGGTTATCCGCCGCCAGAAATCACTGTAAAATGACTGATAGTTTTTGTGGAGTAATTTCACAATTATATCAATGTTTTTATCATTTTTTTAAAGTGGAGGCGAGAAGATGGGGAACGCATACCTTTAGGGGACTGGCAGGGGAGGCGTTATATTAGTAAATATTTTAAATATTTTATCTTTTAATAATATATTTTAATATATTCCCATTTAATCTTATAATATATATTTTTATCTTTTTTTAATATAACATAATCTTTTGAATCATGCATTACTTTATTTTTTTGTATATTTTAATGTTTATATCTTATAATTGATATGTTTTTAAATGATTTAATTAAAATTATAAACTTATTAAATAGACTATAAAAATACTTATTATAATGCATAATAATTTTAATTTCACTAATTTTTTTGTGATTAAAATTTCAAAAGCAAACAAAACTGAAGGCGAAAATTTGAATATAACACGAGTGACGAGGTATTCATTTATTTGTTTAATAAATGGTTAAAAGTTTTTAATAAACATCTCGTTTATTATTGTCGATAAACTTCTTAACTTAAGTTATTATAATAATGTATTATTATTTATTATTTTTATTTTGATGTCATTTAAAGAGTACATTCTGGCGCCTGGCTTTGTATTGCCTCTAACGGTATGACATATTTTTTGTATATGTTTTATGTATTAAATATATTTATTAAGTATAAAGAAACAACAGTTGTTTGTATGCTTTTTTTTTAAAAAAAAAATACAAATCTCATAATCATATGACAAAGCATACATAAAATGTTATTTTTTGCTTAAGTTGGCGCAAAATTTTCATTTATGATTTGCAATCCGTATAAAAAAATCCACTTATATTATCAATTTGAATATTTATCTAAAATAAATACTAAAATATTATTTGAATGAATATATGAAATTTGTGTAACATTTTTTTAAAAAAGTTAACCAAATTAACATTTTGCAAATAAATTTTTTAGCATATATTAAATTTATTTTACTTAAATGAATATTTTTGAAAAATATCTGTATGTACTCTATCTTATAAAACTATTTATAAACATATAACAAATATTATACTTATGTAAACATTATACTACTCTTTACCAAAGTTATAATATTGTAATGTTGTATAACTCATTCAAAACCTATAATGATTTATTAGGTAGAAATATAATAAAATATATATCATATTTCTACAATATATATATATATATATATATATATATATATATATATATTCATTTATATATTTGAAATGCCTCCCAATGCAATCAATCTTATAATGATAGTTATACTGTATAGACAAGTATTAATACATTAACTTTTATTGTAAAAAATAAAAAAAATTACTTAATTTACTTAATTGTTTTGTTTGAATCAATAGGTGTTATGCCATCAGTTAGCAAAAGGATTTTACTACATGTCCAATGTAATGCATTTAACACATATTAAATTTAATTGTTTTACATTTATTTTAATAATAATTTTAATAATTATCATGGTAATATAGTCGCACCCCAAATATGGCTTCCAAGTCAAACAGTCGGGTATGCAATTTGTCATAATTTACACAACAAAAAAAAATATTTTACTAATTAAGATAATTCATTGAATTCAGAGCACCGTTAGGCAAATTCGTGTCTATAGATTGTCATATAGAGGTGTGTCATTATAACATATTATAATTTTAATTATCCATAATTTTTTTCAATAATACATTACTCTTACTTTTAATAGGCATACCCTCCACCAGTGAACTACTGGATCAACGAAAGTACGGCTATATTTGGCACAAACAGTAAATACGAGATAACAGTCAAAGAGAGGGGATATAAAAGACATTTACGGCTAATAATACATGAATTACAGGAATCAGATCTTCGAGACTATCATTGTTTTGCTAAGAATGCTTTAGGCGAACAAAAGGCCACAATTAAACTCTATGGTCAGTCATGTCATATCATTTGAACAGTTGTGTGTATTAATAGAGTATTAATAGTGTATTAACACTTTTATTCATTCTTATCTACCATTCCTATGGAACAGCCATCGAAATAAACGAATTTTCAATCAAAGAGAGTCTTACAAATAAACACCAAAGTTTTAATAGAAATAATAACCAAAAATATAGCGATATATACAATCATAACAACAAATACGTGAATAATAAAAACTATTTGAGCCGACAATCCAATCACTCGGTGGCCGAATCGACAGCCAGTGATGGCCATTCATGTCATAAAAAGTCACGTCTTTTGCCAATCATTTGGTCATCTTTTGTAAATAGTCTTCTCATAAATTGTCTATATTTTCTATGTTTTGACACTAATGTTAAAGTTTTTGTATAAACAAGTTTAAACAAATAGATAAAAATAAATAAATTGTACATTAAATTTGTACTGTATATTTATATATATGATACAAAATATATGTTATATATAAATATATATATACTATAATTTAAAAAATTATGTCTAATTTTTATACACAAATCAAATACTGGCTTTCTCATCAAATATCAACAATAAATGGATGAAAACAATTGAATTGAATTTATAGACTAAATGAGGGACAAAGTTATATCTATTTGATTGTTAAACAAATAGTCAATAATAGGAGATCGGATTAATTAACGCAATATCATTTGTTAATAATGTTTGAAGCAAACAATAAATAATAGTATTATAGTTTATAATACTATTGTATATTATTATGAAAATTTGATATAAATTTAAGATAATAGATTATAGGTAGTAATTTCAGGCTATTAATATAGAAAAATATTAATGAAATATAATAACATCCATTGAATTAAACAAATAGACATAAAATTCTTCAAAAACACACGGATTGTTTGACATAAATTTTATTCAATTGAGAATTAAATAAATTAAAACTAATAAAAAAATTATGTAAATAATTAGTTAAATATAAATTCTAAAACTTTTGTGAACAACAAACAAAAAGTGACAGCTATTGTGTTATTTGTTCACAATTTATACATCAAGTCATTAGACATATAAATAAGTTATCAAACAATGGTTTGTTGCGATGATATCTCAACACTAATACGATATACTGTAGTATACGATAATCATGTGAACAGAATATCTGATTATTTGAATCGAAAATTTCAATTATAGTAATATATTTCATATTCACTGTAATAAGATTGTAAAAACATTGCTATTTTATTACTGTATTATTATTATAATACTAATAAATTTGTTGAAAATGGGTTTACAGGTAATGGATTCAACAGAGTTTTTTAATATAATTTTTAAAATTGAAAAAATACATTATAATAGATTATATTCAGCAAATCATTACATTTTAATAATTTAAAAACTTTCACCATTATCAAGTATTTTACTGTAAATAAATTATAGTTTAAAATAATATATATTTTTATAAAAAAAAATGTTTAAAAAAAAGTTTTACTAGATAATTGAAAAATTATTATGTTATAAGTAAATCAAAATAACCAATTAAAATTATTATTTAAAAATATTGTATACTCTTAAATGATTTGTTATAATTTTATTTTATAAAAATAAAAACTATTTGATTAAAAATAATTACATGATTTTTTGTTACATGTTATACTGATAAAAATTTATTAATTTAGTAAATTGTTAATTAATAGGGGGAAATTTTAATAGCTATTAATACAGTATAAATGTAGAAATTGAAATTATAGTAATAAAATACTAGACAATAAAAAATTAACAGAAAAATATCTTAAAATTAAAAACTTACTGTATATTCATACATACGTCACCAAATGTTAAGACACTATAGCTAATAAAAAAGACTTATTAATAGAAATTATTAATAAATGTACTGCAAATTATAATAATAAATTTAAAGTATAATTAAGTTTTATAAATAAGAAAAAATGTCATGTTAAATTAATGTTAATTTGTTAAGTAAAAATAAATAATAATAATAATCAACATTTCCTTTAAAAACTTTAAATATCATACTTGATAATTTTTTAATAAAGTAATTTTAATTTAGTGATATTATATTAACTTATTATAATTGCTATTACATGGTATATTTATTAATAATAATTAATGTCATTTTATAATAAATAATAAATAAAAAACAAAAATATTTTATAAATTATTTCATCTATTAAGCAATCATTGCATCAGTCATATAATGCACTACTTTTATATTGTATACAGTATTACATAACATTGTATGATATTTATGTAATAAATAAATTTATAGTACAGTATAGTGACATCCAATGAACATAATTGACAATATTATTTGAGACCAGAATATATGGACAACAGTGTCTAACTATAGGCTAATGCTTTTACTAAATATTATTATTAATTAAACGTAATATATATAATAAATGTGTATTAGTTAACAACAATTAAAAATAAAATTGAATAATTAATTTATGTGTTATATTATATGATTATCTAATAATGTATTGTATTATTAGACACATTTGAATGCTATAGTTTGGACGTAATTGTTGTTCTCATAGTATGTATTAATTTCAATTGAATTTCATTGCAATCGTGTATTGAATGAATGTATTGAATATATTGAATGTATTGTATTAATAGTGTTGAGTGTTGTGTTACTCGAGTGCCACACACTGTCTGACTGTCTGTTTGTATAATTAGTGTATTAGTTGTGACCAACAGTTAAGTGACGACTAAAATGGCTGAAGCCGTCGGTGAAGACGACAAGAAGCCCATCGATGACATCAATCAAGAAAATGATGAACAAAATGACTTAAAGAAGATCAACATATTTATAAAGACGGCCAAAGAAAAGGAGTCGTTTGAGATCAACGAAAATGAGTCCATAAAAAAGGTATTAATCAATGATCACCAATTGATTCACCAATAGTTATGACCATTTTGTGACCAATTGTGGTGATAGTTATGGTGAATGTGTGGTTATTGTGTGTTTGTAGAGCAGATAATTGTATGGTTTATATATATATATATATATATATCAAGTGATGACTATGTCATACATTGAATGACATATAATTTGATGACTTGTTATATGAATTTGTTATAAAAATTTCCTTCAATTGAATGCCAAATACAACACACTATATATACGACAAACTATTAAAGCATTTTAAAACACATTTTAATGACTTATCTATTAATGAAAACCACTATTTAATTAAATATTTGCATTTTTTCATACGTTTTTGTATATATTATGATATATATAATAACAAACATTAGAGTTATCTATTGATAATTAATTGTTTTTATTTGATTGATTGATTGATTAATACAAATATTTATCATTTGATTGATGTATTGATAGCTCAAAGAACTGGTTGCCCTCAGATTCAAGTCAGACATCGATAAGATATGTCTTATATTTGCCGGAAAGATATTGAAAGACAACGAGACACTGGACACACATAGTATGTGATAAATATTATTGAATTGATTTTAATTTTTGTTGATTTATCAATTAATATTACATTTAAAATTAATTAGCGAACAATTATTTATTTTATTGCATTTTAATGATTGATTTATCTATTTTTCAATAGAAATTAAAGATGGATTAACTGTCCATTTGGTCATCAGGTCTGGAAATCAGGTATTTATTTGATTTATTTTTATATCAATGTTTTTATTTATAAATAAAAATAATTGTTTAAAGACATCGACCTCTTCATCTCAACCGGCATCACAACAGACGACACAAAATGCTGATAATAGTTCATCAATGGGTGCAAATGCTTTTGGTTTGGGTCAACCATTTGGTGGTATACCTGGTTTAGGTAATCTTGGTTTAGGAAATTTTGAAGAAATGCAGCAAAGAATGCAAAGAGAGGTAATTAATTTATTTGTTTAATAATTGTCAATCAATTAGTAATTATTATATGATGTCATAGATGATGAACAACCCGGAAATGTTGCGTCAAATGATGGAAAATCCAATCGTACAGCAATTGATGTCGAATCCCGAATATGTTCGACAACTGCTGACAGCGAATCCACAAATGCAACAATTGATGGAAAGAAATCCAGAGATCAGTCATATGTTGAACAATCCGGATCTATTGAGACAAACCATGGAAATGGTTCGCAATCCGGCGGCGCTTCAAGAGTTGATGCGAACTCAAGACCGAGCGCTCAGTAATCTTGAAAGCATTCCCGGAGGTTATAACGCATTGAGACGTATGTATACTGAACTTCAAGAACCAATGCTTAACGCAGCACAAGAACAGTTCGGCAGTAATCCATTCGCTGCCCTCTCTTCTAATAATACCACCAATGACTCGACCAATGCAATTGATCCACAAAGAATTGAAAATAGAGATCCATTGCCTAACCCTTGGGCTCCGCGAACAACACAAACGCCCGCTTCAAATACAACGGCATCAAACACTACTACCAGTACAACACCCAATCTTTCGGCCGGTTTGTTACAACCAGGTATGCAGAGTCTAATGCAACAGATGGGCGATAATCCACAACTCATGCAGAATATGATGACTTCTCCTTACATGCAGAGTATGCTTCAGGTATTGAACTTTAAATTTTTACAAATAATTCATTTGTTTGTAACAAAATTATATTTTTGTTGAATAAAGATGTTATCAGCGAATCCAGATATGGCACAAAACATGATTGCCAACAATCCATTGCTTTCAACTAATCCTGAAATGGCTGAACAGATGAGACAAATGATGCCAACAATGTTGCAACAGATGCAGAGCCCAGAAATGCAGAACATTGTTACCAATCCACAGGCTCTTCAGGTATTGATTTATTTTACATATTATTACAATTACCGGTATTTAAAAAACAACTGTTTTATAGGCTATAATGCAGATACAACAGGGAATGGAGCAATTGCAACGGGTAGCACCTAATATATTTGGAATGTATGTTATAATTACGGTAATTGAATCATAAAATATTGACATTTCTTTTGGCTATTCAAAGGATTCCCAATCCAAATACGACACCAACACAACCGCCGGCGCCGACGGCCACCACTGATAGTAATACGACGACTACCAATAGGCCGGCCACAGCTGCTAATAACGCTGCAAATGCTGCGGCTCTCTCGCAACTCATGGCGAACATGTTTAGTGGTCAGAGTAATCCAAATCCTGAAGATAGATATAGACCACAGTTGGAACAGTTAGCGAATATGGGTTTTATGAATAGAGAGGCCAATCTTCAGGCACTTATAGCCACATTTGGTGACGTGAACGCAGCCGTTGAGCGACTCTTACAGACACAACAATAATTAAATGTCACTTTTCATATGTGTCTGTCTATTGTATCCTAAATTTCCTAATGAGAGGACATTTAATGACTGCACTTTTTATCCTTTGTTTATATTATATAATATTAATACGGAAAAAGTAAAATATATTATATGAGAGAAAAATATTTGTCAATAATTTAAACATTAAATTATGAGAAACTAATAGTGAAAATTATTTAATAATAAAATGAAATGTAATATTTAGTTAAATTGAATGAATGAATGATTGAGTGAATGATTGAATTAAATGTAAGCGTCAGACTAGCGATTGATTCCATTGTTTTTTATAAGTTATATAAATATTAACATAAATATGATTTATTGATTTATTTGCAACTTGGATGAAATAATTGCTTTTAAGTCAAATAAAAATTATCTTTATATAATATGATGATATTGTAATGTACATCAATCATTAAAATTAACACATTATATATAAGATTTAGTTTACTGTCAACTTATTGTCGGAAAATTAATTTTTTAAAATCATCAAATGTTTAAAAATGTCATTTTTTAGTTACAGCAATATTGAATGTTTTAGAAAATTATTATCATTTTGGATGTCTATTACAATTAACAGTAATTCATTAGAAAATTAAGTCTAAAATAAATTGAGATCACTTTATATTTTTTAGATCAATAGTGCAACTGATTGGACCTATTTGTGATAAAAGAGTCGCTAAAAATTAATTATTTTATTTCAGACTCCACTATATTAATAAATTTTCTAATTGTATTATATCGATGTTTAATACAAAAATGTTTGCTTAAACAAATAAAGTAAATAAAAGTGATATTCAATAACTAAACAAATATTTTGTTATTAATCACATTTGAAAACAAATGGTTAATATGAATACAGAATATTCTGTATTTACATTAAAACATTAGTCATTTGTTATTCATATTGTAATTTGAATAAACTGTTTGATTTAATTTATAAGTAGTGATAATTAGTTGATTATGATAATTGATTTTTAATGTTTTTATTCAATTGATGTTTTCGTATACGTGTTTATCAAAGTATTGAAAATAAATCATTCAAGACTTTACTCATTGTATGTCATCATATAAATGCCTTTATAATAATAATAATAATAATAACATAATGTTTAATATCAAATATGTGTCAAAAAGTATTGACTACTGTTTTGTATCAATCAATGTACTGTTGTTTGACTATTAGTATTAATATTAATAATATAATGAATATATTAATTGCTATGTATTTACTAATTACATAGCAATGCAATGAATGTACGATTGAATTGATATGAGATATAACAGGAAATTGTGAATCATTTAATAGGTTTAATATTTTCATCATTAAAAAAATAGTGTAATATTAAATCGCAATATAAATATGATAACTGTTTCAGTGCTAAAAAAATAATTATTTTATAAATATTTAAAATATAATCATAAATAATTTGATTAACTTAAGAATCTAACAAATTTATATTTTTAATTTAAACCCGTATACAGTATTTTGTCTCATTTATGATTATATTAAATATTTTTTTATTACTTTATTATACAGTAGTTTATTATCTTATATCATATACTGTATATTATCTATAAAATTAAACATTAATTAATTTAAACTAAAAATTAATGAAATTATAATTGTATTGAAAACATAAAGTGATGTAATTTGACAATAATTCATTTAATTTCAAATTATTATTTTTTAAATGAGCTTGATCAATTTTTGAAAAAATACATTTTGTGATTACACCAAATGTTACATAAAATTGTTGATCACTAATATTGATATCATATTTTCATATAAATACTGGTAAATACAGTATATGTAGTCTAATAACATGATGTTTACCCCATAACTACCGGTGCTTCAAATGGTGCGCAAAAAAACTGGTGAAAACACCTTAAGATTGACCACAAATGATGTAAAAATGCTTATATAATACATGGGTTTCAGGTATTTGAATGCAATTTCAATGATCATTGGTATGACTGACTGACTGACGCCAACTAACGAAAGCAATGCAAATATCGATTGGTTTACTGAAGGCTTCACTCACTCATAGGCTTAACGTTAACCTCAAGTCCGCAAACACTGACTGACTCTCTTTCAGAGCTGTTTATTAGAGATTCAACACAACAACACATACCGTATAACACATACCAGTGTTTGTGTTTGAGAGCCGAGACTTACCTTTAAAAAAGCAAAGCATTTGATACATACATACATAGAGTGAACGTTAGAGAGAGTGTCAAATGAAAGCCTAACTTATATGATATGATATACAGTATTGAAAAAACATTTCATATATAAAAAAGTGCAAAAAAAACTGGAGAACCAGTCCTTTAACTATTATTATAGCTTTTATACGGTTTTCAATGCTATTTGTTGAATGTCTGTGCACTACATCACTGGCTATTATGGTCTCCACTATTGATAAGCTATGTTATTATGGATGGCATACCTGTTGTGTTGCCATTAATGTCCAACTCTGCTAACTATTGACAGTCCAGTGGCAGCACAACATCAATAATATGTGGTATGTATTGATAATATATATATTATTTATTTATTTATTAATACCAGTGTTAATATCATTACTTTTTATGAACACTTTATTTTGTACATAACATAAGGCAATGAAATACATATTATTTGCCTGTTATCACACAACCAATGCAAACACAAACACACAATCAGTGCTTCAAAATAAAAATAAAACTATTAATTATTGTATTAATTTTTTTGAATGCATTTTCACGACTTATTAAACGATACAAACTATTCGTGTATTTCAATGCATGACTTTTGCCTCAAATTGTATTTCATTGTATGTTAAAAGTTAAACACAAAAAATAATATCTATTTTCTCACTCGTGTCTCAAAACTATTTGTTTTTTATAACTAAAATGTTTTTAATGTTGTTTTGACATTAATGTAAAAAATCCTCATTTCGTTAGTGTTTCAAATCAAACACAATATTTACAACACTTGAAGTTTTTTGCCAATATTTTTCAAATATTTATTTAACGTTTATATTTGACTGATATTTCTTTTACGCTATTTTTTACTAATTTGAAGCTCAGATTATTATTATTTTTTTGAAAATAATTTTTCATTTCAATTAACAATTTATTTTAATTATGCGACAGTCTGTGCATTTAAATTGAAAATTATTATTAATTTTTTTTTCGCTAACATCTCATAATGTGATCCTTTAATTTCAGATATATTTTTGTGAGCCATTAATCAAACAATTTTATGATTGAATTTAATGAACGGATGAATGAAAAACACCTAAAAAAGATGTGAAATATTTTTATTTATTATTATAAATCAAACAAAACTTTTGTTAAACCATTTGGTGTTATTATTAGTATTATTAATGAAAATAATTTTATTGACATTTTTGGTAGCAATAGATTTAAATCAAATTCACACTACTTTTAATAATTTGTTGAAAAGTGTTTTTTTTATTAAAAAATAGTAATTTGTTTTATGTGGTTATTATATAAACTTTATAAAAAGTTAATAGTTTTATAATTGATTTTTAAGTATTTATTAATAAACAACATTTAAAAGACCGTGAAATATAAAATATCAAATTAAATAATAATAATCAATTTTTTATTAAAATTGGTTTAATATACTTTAAGTTAATTTATAACTATTTTGACAACTACTACGAATCAATAAACAACAACAAAAAATGTTAATAATATGTTAAGTAATAATTATAATATTATAAAATGTCATAAATTATTAGTCCATTTTAATTAATGAAAAGTAGTATTAAAGCGCACAATGAATGTGACCATCAAATTGCCGGCCAATACCATAAATGGTCTAAAATTTAGCCATTTGTTGCATTTATTTGTGTTAATATCAGTTATAATTGTATCACTCGATGTCCGGTTGGTTTTGGCGACCAATTGTGTGGCCGATAAGTGTCAGTGTGTTTGGCGTACCGGCAAATATACGGCCGACTGTTCCCTCCGGAAGCTCACACTATTGCCTCAGGTTTTGAGCAAAAACTTTATTTATTTATTTTATCAATTGATTAGTGGTTTTAATTAGAAAAATAGAAATTAATTAAATTACTTATATTTGTGTAATCATTGAATAATAGGATAAAAACTCAGAGGAGATACAAATAATGAATTTGACCAGGAACAGTTTCTATGAACTCAAAACTAATGTATTTATTCAATCATATCTGAATAATCTACAAAAAATATATCTTCAACAAGGTTTCACTATTTTATATATATATTACTATTTGTTTAACTGTTATTATAATTTAGTTTTTTAATTGTTGTTATCAATGGACAGTTGGCTTAGAGAAAGTCGACGACAAAGCATTTAATGGACTCAAAAATGTGATTGAATTAGACTTAAGTGTGAATAGTCTTAAATACATTCCCTCCCAATCATTGTCATCGATGACCAAATTGCGGACATTAGATATGTCATCCAATTTGATACCATTCGTTAACAAACATTCATTTCATAACTTAACTGATTTGAAGACATTATCATTGGAAAGGTATTGTATTTTTGTGCTAAAATTAAAGTCTGAGCTTTCAATTGATTAATGATTGAAACTAAATGTGTGACTTTGATTATCAACAGAAATCGTATCACATTTATAGACGACATGGCATTTGATGGCCTCATAAACTTGTCATATCTTAAACTAAGGTAAAGATAAGTGATTTTTTGTCACATTTTTTGCTAGTTTTTCCTTAATTTAACGCTTAAGTCATTTATTATTTGATTTGATATATACAGTAGCACTCAATAATGAAATATATTATTTAAGACTTTTATTTTTATTCAATAATTTTCACGAATACTATAATGAAATGACTCCCAAACTCGACTATAGAGACATTAATAATAGATATTATTATGTGATTTATTATTATTACTGAAACCCACACTCAATCGCATATAAACATAACATTAAGGTGTGAGAGAAAACTTTAGATAAAATAAATTATGAATTTATATTATTATTATTATAATATATATTTATGAAGAAAATTAGTTTTGTGATAGACTATTGCCAAACATATATCTTATTAAACTAAAAATAATGTCATATATATTCTGCAATGAATGTCATATATTTATTTGTTGTGAACCAACTTTTTAGCCAAAATCAATTGACAACAATGCGGAGCCAAATACTGGATCCATTGACACAATTACATTCACTGACATTAAGTGATAACAAATGGCAATGCGATTGTACTTTAAGGTCTTTCCGTAAATATCTATTGTCCACTACAAGAATTACTGTGATAGATGAACCCAAATGCTATGATACCATACACAGCAACTATATCGACAAATGGAACCAATTGGGTGAGTACTGACAGTCACAGTCACAGTCACATACCAGACCCCCATACCAGACATCTCTCTCTCCATCATTACGTTTCCTTTAGCACTGTTATCTCAAGTGTTAATTATTATTATTTAGACATTAAATTTATGTAACACTCTTCACATCTCTTTCTCTCTCATTGTTTATTTATGTTTGTTATTGAGAGAGAGAGAGAGAGAGAGAGAGAGAGAGAGTAAACTATTTGAATAAATATTATCTTAACTTTTGATATACATTTCAAATAATAATAATTTGAAATATCATTTGAAAATTTGTATGACATTTGTTATATATTTATTTACATTATAAATAGGTTTGAGTTGGTTTCTATGCGCTCCTGTGATATCCAATTATAGGTATGTCTAATATCACTACTGATAATGTCATTTACTATTAAATCATTTATATGTTGATTATCAAAGTCCATGAAAATAATGTTAACTGAAACACATTAACTGTTAGATCATTTGATTCAATAATTACTCGCTATTTCCGTTGCCTTAACTTTTATTGTCTCTCATTTATTATACATATAATCATTAGGTTTGACTTTCGATAATAGGTGACTATTATTTATATATTGTATTAGATTGTAAATCATTAATAATAATTTAACCGCAAAATATAATAGCTTATTGTTTTTCCAAATAAAAGATATAATAGTATTCATATATTATATATTTTTAGTTGGATTTAGAGCTCTTACTATTTTGTTTGTAAATCACGACTTATATATTTGAATTGTAATGAAAAATTTTTTTTATTTTATGCACTTTTAGAGAGAAAGTCTAAAATTTAAAGAGATTTTACGGTTAATTACTTTAAAGAATAGTTTAAGATAAAAATTTTGACTAAAAAAGTAATAAAAGTATTAAATTTAATGATTTTAAAGTTTAGCCGTTTTAGGGAAAGTGAAAGAAATGTTAAGCCTATCGATAAAATATAAATCCTTTAACTGAAAGAAATTTGTGATTTAATTGATTTTTGAAAGATTAATATATTATTTGAGATGATTTTTATATATTAAATAATTATCAATATAATTAATTTTTTATTTATTGATGTAGAATATAAATATATCTTAAGATAGAAAATATTTAAAAATATATGTATTTATTTTATAGTGAATTCTAAGAATAATTAATTTATAAATAGAAATTTATTAAATGAGTTTTTAAATAACTAATAATATATGTATTGTCATATTATTGTTAGAAATTTGTATAATTTAAAATTTGTCCAAAATTAATAATACAAATTTTGACAAATGTTTCAATAAATCATTGTCTTAGAGTTCATTGACTTCCTATGATTAGACATAATTTTATTATAATAATATATACGATATTATTTTAACCATTTATGAATAAATAATACTTTTAACTGTATAAACATTTATAACTAATAACTATTTTCCATCCGAAGCGACAATTCATTGCTATTAAATAAATTTAATATTATATAAAATGATTAGTATTAATATACCGTATATACTGTATAATAGTCGATAGTAAAATATCTCAATACAGTGTGTATTAAATTTAGTCTTAATATACTAGTATTGGAAAATATTGAATCAATTTTGCAATTTCCTCGACTGACTCCACAATAAATGAGAAAACAATCGATTTCTAACATTATATGAAATGTCATCCTTTGAGGCATTTTATATATATATATATTCGTAGACAACATTTGAAATCAATATTTATAAACACAATATCTTAAAAGTCTGCTATTTTTGTAAAAAACTTATTGACTTTTTTTTTTAAAAAAATAAATCTTTTTTTTGTAACATATTTCATGTCTAAAACAGATTTTTCATATATTTAAATGTGAGAACTGACTAATTTATATTATTTATAACCATCTTTGAAGTGGTGTTAGTAGTAATGTTAACGTTAACGAGGGCTCAACACTGGAACTGGAGTGCGGTATTGTTTTGACAGATGATGACGACCAGCAACTATCCATCCAATGGTATTGGAATACCATTCCCATCACAAATAACAGCAAAGGCTGTGGTGAGGACTGTCAGATCAAATCAAACCAACAATTTCTCATAAATGAAAACCAAAGCGTTAAAGTCAACAATCAAAATGTAATGATAACAATATATTGCATTTTTTCTGATGATTTATGACTTCCCATATGACTAATTGATTTGAATGTTTTACCTATAAAACTATAGCTAAGAGTATCGCGACTGCAGCTCTCATCCGTCCAATCCTTCAATAGTGGCAAATATATATGTATTGCAGATAATAGGGCCGGAAAAGCGGAAAAACCATTTACGGTTAGCGTAACGGCTTTGGGATCAAGAAATGGTGTCACTGCTGCCGCCGCTGCTTCTGAATCTCATTTTGGCAATGAAAGCACTGATCCCAACAAACCTGGTTTGTTGTCATTAAATAAATTAAATGATTTATTATTATTATTATTGAGTATTAAATTTTATTTTTTGATGAAAAGTTTCAGAGATTGCAACGGATAACATAGTCGTCGGTCTAATACTTGGTATTCTCGTCGGTGTTATGTTTGTCTTAATATTGTTCGGAATATCTGTGATTTTGTTGTGTCGACGACGTCAACGGCGTTATCACAATTCAAACCAAGAAACCGATAATATCAGTGAAGGCACAGAATTGGAGAAATTGACACCAAATTCAAACAATTCAACTCTTCGTGTGAATCCTATTCAAAAGCCTCCGCGAATGGCTTTAAATAATTATAATTCAGGTCTGAAATCCAAAGATTATAATTATTGTAAAGAAAAACTAATGTATTTATTTTAAATGTATGAATAAATAGATTATCTGTCGGAAAAAGAGATGCCAGAAGTATGGCTTATGAAACATCACAATAACAACGGACACCACAACAACACCATAAACTCTCACAATCAGAGTTACGCCGAAAGTGATTACTCGACAACACTGTTAGTCAATGATAATCATTACGAACCAATTGATATGATTCAACCGTATGCCGAATCAGTCAGCACTGTCATCACTGGTAATTAGATAAATATTTTTTTTTGTATTTACAATTAATTAATTACAAATTTATTTAATACAGAACCTGATTTAATTAATCCGTCAGTCTATGTCCGGGACAGACCATTTCAAGAGACCGATTTGGATGATATAATTAGTATTAATTCACAGGGAACTGAAGTATAACAATACTACTACTACTGTATTATAGATATATTGAAGATTATATTCATTACAAGGGATGTCATGATTTGGACATCAATTTCACTCAGTAGTTGAATATTAACTTCAATACATATATTTCTATATTTATCAATACCTCTAAAGATGATGTAGTTTTTCATATATATATACCGTAATCATCAATTCATTGCATTTCATGTAATCCTTATTTATCATTAACATTATCAGTATTTTATATTTTTATATACTAAGCATTGAAGATGATTTTTAATTATAATTGCTATTAATATTTTTATTTAAGTAATTATAAGTCATATTTTGTATACAATAGTTACTATAAAAGTTACGGTTTCTTTAGTACTGTATATACAAATACGGTAAATACAAATAAGTCGTTTATTATAAAGACTTAGGTTTTTTGTTTGTTGAAACCAACCAACCATTTGTATATCAAAGTTATTATAAAATAACGCTTTAAAATCAAAGTAATTAGTTGTAAGCTTGATATAAAATTAATTATTTTTTATTATATTTATTGTAACACAAATATTGCCAATATTTATATGTTGTGTTAAACTATTGATATACTAATGTTATTAATTAGAGATAAAAATTGATATTGTTTGCCAAATAAAATGTTAAAACAAATATATAATTATATATGCGATATACATGTTTATTATATAATAGGTATGTATAGAATATATTCATTACAGTAAATAGTATAACGATTAAAAACTTGTTATTATTTATTTATAATAAAAATGATAAAACCGATGCCTTTTTCTTGTAGAATATTTTTAATTTATTATATTTTAATTACTATTTCTGTTAGCTATTGTGACAATATTTGTTATAAATAGAAAAATGTTGTAATTAAAAATAAAGTTGAATAATATAATGACATTGATTATTATTATAATGCAATAATTTGACAGAATTATTGTTTCTTATACATACCTGTCCTTTGAGTTGTCATTTAATTACAGGATTTACATCAACTAATCAGTGAAGAATGCATTTTCAATACAATGGATGGGAAAACAATTATTTTTTAAAAATTTGTTAAATTTTTTTTAGCATTGGATTCGTATTTTTTCCATAATAAAGAAATTGAATTGTAATTTAGTATTTGACAAAATGTGTATAAAAGTGGTTTTACAAGTTTTGCACACAATATTTTGTTGTACATAACTTTCATACCTGTGCTTAACATTTACTTTTTTTTGCCATAGCTTTTTAAGTTGGAATACATAATAACATAAATATTATTATTTTATTATTCATTTTCATATTTATGGCCGAGTATTGGCTCAAATTTGAGTGAAGCGTAACTTTTTTGGTGTTTTTGTTAACAATTTTAATAATTAAGACGATATCAAAGAGATCCAAATACATGATTAGTGTTGACTAATGGTATGAATTACCAAAAAAGTGTGTTAACTGCTATTATAAAACTGTTTTTAATAACAATAGTTTGGACGACACCTATAAATAGGGTGTATTTTTCGTATATAATTCATACGTCAAATAACCTCATTTTGGCCGTGAATTAGGCGAACAGTTAGTTAAAAGAAAGAGAGAGAAAAAAGTTATGGAGAGATAATACTGTATGTAATAACTTATGATTTTGAATGTATAAAGTGTTTGGTTTTGTGCAACAAATATAAGCCAATTATGGTATCAATGAGTAGGTGTTATAAGTGAAGAGCAGATGTGCTGAGGATTTGCCACAATCTTTGCCATAACTCTTACCACTCTTTTTATTATTATTTTGTTTTTGTCTCTTTCTTTTCTCTCAATCATCTCTTATGTCTTCAACGATAGTCACCTAATAATTGGTTTGCTTTGCAAGCATTTCGTGTGATTTTTAAAGACTTCGTGAACAACAAGAGTTCAAAAGTTTTCGTTTTTTGAAAGTTCATAAAACAGTTGTCCCGTCTTTTGTTGTTTTTATTTATTTGTTAATAAAATTTATACAATTATTATACAATTTTATTAACATCAATAAAATGGCAAAAAAACTGAAGAGATTTCAGATACTTTTGGACGACGAGTCGCTTATGTACTTTCCGGGAGCCTTCCTATCAGGAAAGGTATTACTTGAGATCGATGAGGACACTCCTGTCATAGGTTTGTTATTTTGGTTTATTAAATTAAATCTAAATCAGTAATTTATTTATATATATATTTGAAAATAAATCCAAACTATTAGGTCTATACTTTCATATTATTGGTGAAGGAGTGGTCCGTTTGACAACTAAAGGAAGAGTTGACTCATCCGATCGGGAAAACTATATTGATTTCCGAATGAGACTATTGGGTGATAGTTCAGCTAAAAGTGGTATGAAATCATTTATATCTTAATTTATATAATTATAAAATAAATTATATTATTATATAATTACATTAGACATAATATTAAATATCAAAAATATTCAATTTCGCAATTTATTTAAACTTATTTTAGTTTTTTTAAACTAATAATAATAATAATAATAATAATAAAAATATAACTTTTATAGATAAAAAATAATTATTTTGAAATAGATTTACAAAACAAATTTTATTTTAATTTCCTTTTTTTAAAAACAAAATCATTTTAAAAGTAATTTGTTTTTTATTGAAGGCTTTGTTGGGGAAGAGATAGAGTGGGTGTCGATATAATAACACTCTTTGCGATGATTTTTGATTTAAATTATTTTTATGCTTTTTATATTCACAAAAATATATTTATTTAAGTGGTTAACAATTTTTAATTACTTTATATTATATTATATTTTGTAAATTATATTAAAAAATGATGTTAAAAAACAAACAAACACAACACAAAATACTAATTAATTAAAAATACTAAAAATTACACTTTTTTGTATAAATATGACAGAAAGTGGAAGTATGTACAACGGATCAACAATTACGACCCGAGTACTAGTCCTATCTCCCGGTGTCCATACATTCCCATTCAAATTGGGTTTACCATTAGGACTTCCCTCGACTTTTTTGGGTAAACACGGGTGGGTTCAATATTTTTGTCGATCAGAGCTCCGTGAGCCCAATGGGTTGATCCATAAGAACCAACAGGTGTTTGTCATTATGAGTCCAATTGATCTCAATCTTGAGCCCGAAATTCTATCGGTAATTATTTATTTTAAAATTATATTTATTTTAATAAAACAAATAATATATACAGTATATATCATATTTCTATTTATATACTTTTAATAGCAACCGTTTCACGCGGAACTGGAAGAAAAAGTAGGAATGTCTTGTATGAGTACTGGAAAAGTGATGTGTAGAGTGAGACTGGATCGGGGCGGGTATGTGCCCGGAGAAAGCATATGTATCTATGCTATCATTGACAACGACAGCAATTGTGTGATAAAGAAAAGTCGCGCCGTTTTGACTGAAGTAAGCATTTGATACGCTCTCGTGATTTGTAGACAACAACACCTAATATGTTATAATACATACATTTTAATTGATTTAATTGATTGAACAGACAGTTCAATACACCGCCAAAAACAAGATTGTGTTCAACGAGACCCGTGAGTTGGCAGCCATTGAAAAGGGAAAAATTGCGGCCAACAGTGCGGAACAGTGGCGTAACGAACTCTTGTATATACCACCCATTCCTCCAACTAATTTGAGGTATGTTTATAATTAAACACACCTTTCCTATTAAATTGACTTAAATAGACAAAAACTAATGGACTATTAATTTAATTGCTATTTACAGGGGTTGCCATTTGATACAAATACAGTATGATATTTATGTGAGTGAATCATCAATTTATTTGTTAATTATTTCATTAATTATACGATTTATTTTTTAAAAATTAAATTTGTTTTATTACCATTAGTTTATAATACAACCAAAAGGTGCTCATAAGTCGATAAAACTTCAGTTACCGATAATGATGGCCACATATCCGATACGCAACAGTGACGGTACACTTAAGAGAAGGAAAGGCACGTACTATCCGTCCACTTTGCCGACCACTAGACCCTGGCTTTCAACGTCCGACGGAAAACTCAAATGAACTAAACTTTTTTTTATATAAATAAATTGTATAATTTTAAATAACAAAATGTATATTTTTGCTAAACTATTTTTGTTGTTTTTGTCTGTTTTATGTTTAAAAGTTTATATACAGTTATATATCATATTTGTGTTTGTTTGATAACCCAAACTAAAATATGTAAAATAAAATTAATTTAATTTTAATATTAATGTTGTTTTGTGATAATTAGGCAGTTTTTAATGCTGTTGAAAGCTTTCATAAATGTATACAATATTTTTTTTCATCAGTTTTTTATGTTTATTTGATTTTTTAACATAAATTTTTTTAGTATTGTCTGTTCATATTACTTGACATGAAAATTATTGTTTAGAAACAAATGTAAACGAAACCGAAAAAATATATTTTAATTTATTATAATTTTTTTTCACAAACTTCAGACATGAAGAAAAACTGTTGGATTTTAACATTGTTTGCACTCATATTTGTGATGACGACTAGGGTTGGGGCAAATCTAGTATTTTTTGTTAATAAATAATTGAATATTTCATTTAAAAAATCCATAGTATATGAGCCAACTGTTCCTTATTTTTTTGCAGCAAAAGAATTTATGTTAATATTATTACATATTAATCAAAAGATTATATATATATATTATAGTACTTCATATGATTTTTTAGTTTTATTTATAATAAATATTATAATATTTATCTCAAAAATAGTGTTCAATATTTATGATATAATTTATATTTAATGTTAAAAAATTTTTTTTATTACTTGACTTTAACAAAAAAAATTATTTTATGTATAATACAATTGTTAGAAACATAAAAAATTCAATATATGTATAAATATAATATTAAGTGAAGCGTAAACAGAGATATCAATGCAAACACTATTGCCTTTGATTTATAAATATATCGAAAATATGATAACAATATATATAGTAATTTAAATTTAAAAATAGCACTCAATAATAATGTAAATATCGATAACAGGTGATTATTTATGCAATAACTATAAAGTTATCAAAAGATTTGATTTATTTTAAGCTTATTTTTTCTCAAAAAACATATAAGTTATTTAATATATGACATAACAATAATCTCAATCACAATGTCTGGTATTTGTCTGATTCATGTCTCTCATAGACAAATGAATACTTAATATTAAAGAAAATAAAATCTAAAATTTTAAAGTTTTTATATTTTAAGTCTAATATTAAGTTAAGGTAAAGAAAATCATTTAGTTGTGAAGTGTTTTCATTTTGGGCACTAATTATACGGCCGTTTATGCGTCACATGTATTGAGAGAAGTCTTGAAAAACCAGTTTTTCTCTGAGGACTTAACTAATGGTTTCAATTATACCCTCAGCCATATTGGAGGTCTTCCGCATTAATAAACACTTTATTTTCAATAGTTATTTATTTATTTTAATCTTAAAGATTGGATTTTATTTATTAAATGGATTAAAGTATTATACAAATCAATACATTGTGTCAACACTGATGTAATGTGTGATCAAGTTTTGCAACTATTTTTGACAATTAGTTTTTGCAATTTTTTTGGACAAGTTTTCAAGCGGTGACCAAAATATGTCAATTAAAATACATTAATAATAATAACATCAGTTTTTTTTTACTAAATATTTATCAAAAATTGATATTTTTGTTGTTGTTGTTGTAATATTTGGTTTCTAATTACTTGAAAATTATTTAATAACTTATTTGATAAACTATTTGAATTTCATTAATTGCTGTTTGCATAAATTTTTCATGTGGTAAATATATTAATTACATTTATAAATTATATTTGAATTTTTGTTGATTAAAACTAAATAATGATTTCTTTATTAACAACTTCTAGGCATTTAAAGTCATTAGCAATCAAAACAACTGAAAATATATCCAAATAATGAGTACATTTAGAAAATTAATTGAAAAAACTTAATTTTGTTGTTTTTAGTTAAAGACATAATAATCAAAAAGGCAATAATGAGTTCGCCGCCCATCATATCTAACAATTTGTGTCAATCAAACAGTAATACCAATAATAACTACAATAATAATAATAATAATAACAATGAACTGGATATCGGAGTTGATATATCTGATGGTAATAAACAAGTAGTGGTTATTAAAGGCAAACAAAAAATTTCATCAAACGATACGTTAAGATTAAGATTCTTAAAGAGTACCAACTTTTCAAAGTTAAGGTATGACTTGATTTTGATTCAGCATTTCTTAACATAATATTAAATCAGTTGTTATCTCATTTTCAAAAACTTACTGTCAATTGTTTTATTATGTCCTAACAAGTAATACAGTATATAAAAATAGTTATGAAGAAAATTATACCCAATTTTATATAACTTTTTTTATAACATAAGTGGCGTGTAATTCAAGTAGGCGTTTGTTGCCATTTATACAGATATATAATTTTAATGTCAAAATATACATTAAACAATAAACTCGATTCAATTATTGTTATAATTTTTTGATTTAGTGTTAATTCTCGAGTATATATAAGTTTAAAAACAATTATTTTATGTCTTTTAATGCTTTCATTATTAAAGCAAAAAACTAAATGCCATTTGCTTTGAAATCTTGGCGACTCTTAAATAATAACTTTCCAAACGTTGTGTGTATTTTTAATAGTCTTTAATAATAAAAAAAAAAGTTTGTTGACATTAGCTTCCCGTTTGAAGAGATCACCGGAAACTCTAGATTTGGATGAAATGAAAGAAAAAGACATTAAAAATACTGTTAAAAGTGTTTTATGAAAATAAATTTTATTTATAATTTTTTTAGGTTAGAGTTTTTCGGTTTCTCTCAAGTAATTCACGCGAAAAAACAAAACAAAAATATATAAACTATAATATATTGTAAATAAAAAATGATTTCATATTAGTTTAGTTTGTTTTTTATAATAACATATCGTGAGTTTGTATTCATTCAATTATAACAGTTTTTAATTGATTATTAAGTTTGTTTCAATAATTTTTTGTGTATTTTAACAATTTATTGCATAAAAACAAATCATAACTAAAATTAGGACAAACAGATCACGATTTATGGCTACAATAAAAAAAATCAATAACTAATTTATGTAACATTTTGTTTCATAAACTTATTATTTATTTGAATTCCTTGAAATACATTATTTTTATTATTATTAATATTGATATTATGTGTGTATAATAGTGTAAATGTTTTGTTGCGAAAAAAATAATTGCTTTTATTTTAATTATTTTCAATAAGCAATTCAACATCAATTCAAATGGTTTATGAAGTGATAATTTCACACAAATTAAACCCAATTCTAAAAAATCATCGTTTCATTGATTGCTTTATATGTAAACTGTTTTTAATGAAATGTTAAAAAACAAATTTATTATTTGAATTGAAATTTATAATTAAATATAATGTATTTATTATTGGGTTTAATGTTTATTATTTTTTCATACACTATAAACCTTAAAGTAAATTATGTGAAAGTTTGTAACACATTATCTTTAATTAACCTGATTATCGCATATATAATCAAATTAAATGTGATAAAAGTTATATTAATAACTATTATATTAATAATAAAATTACTATCCCTTTAGCTATTGAAAGTATAACTTCAATTAGTTTTATTAAAAAATAAAATTATTAAATAATTTGAATTTCGTTTGTTTGTTATATACATTATTTCATTCAAAATTATTTTTTTGTGATATATTATATTTAAATAATTATTGTTATTATATAATGGTTATCAAACAATTTGTTACACAAAATTTAAAGGTGTGTTATATAATCTTACATTAATGTTAAATCAAACTGTTATTGTATATCAATTGCGTTAAAAATATTAGTTAACTCCATATCCAGGGGGTGTCGGTTATCATCAATACAACAATCCTATTGTAAATCAGTATCTAATCCTCGAAGCAATTGTCAGATTATGAGAGTATAAAAATTTGTCGTTAAGTTTGAATCCACTAATATTATAAACACCTGTAGGCCTATCCCATAGTTTATAAAAATGTTGTGATCCTAACCCCACACCCGACCACATACTGAGAGAGAAAAAATTTGATATAAAAGTCATGTTTTGATACATTAAAACCTTTAAACATTGTACTCGTTTTGCCACAAAATAAAATATTTTGTATTTATATTTTCATTGACGACTTCTTGAGAGATCTGATATAAGAAATGTTTGCAAACCTATCAAAAAATTTGTTTCTAAAATTAAAAAACAGTCACTCTTTGAGTGAGTAAAACATGTTTTTCTTGGGAAAAAAAATTTTGGTTCATTGAATAACTGATTTAATGTCAAGTATTAACACTACGTTTTTTAAACATTAATAAAATGATAGCCATTTTCACGTATACATTAAAATACATAAAGAAAAGTTAGTCTTAATTTAGTTTTTTTTCTTTCCAATGCAATAGTTTTTTATTATATTTATTACTTTATAAGACAAAATGTCATTGACTTTATTATTATCAAAACTTAGATTTTAATTTTATTATTTGTTATGCAAAAATATTTAAATAATTATTTTCCTATTAGTTTTACCTTAAGATCAAATGACAGACAATTGGCACAAGTATTTGTGACATTTGTTAAGATAATGATCGGTCCATTAATTTTAATATAAATAAGAATACATTGTTTATTATTATTATTATTATTATATTTTAAAAATTAAATTCTTGTATAATAGTGGTAATGAAAAAATAAAATAAAATACAGATATATAGATATAGCAAATCTAATAATTAAAGAAACGGTCATTTTGTTGTTGTTTTGGCCCTCAAGTTCGTGCTTTAAGTTTATATCAAATCAAGTGTAGAGAGAGAGAGAGAGAGAGAGAGAGAGAGAGAGAGAGAGAGAGAGAACTGGGGTATCAATTGGCGTTTTTTCCTGGGAGTCGTGATGTTTGCCATTTGTTATCACTAGTATTTATGACTCAAATGGTGAGGATATCAGACACCATTGCAAGGGATTATTGACAACAAGAGTAATATACTTTTAATGTATTGACTCATTTAGATATTTCATGCAATCATTTTTACATTAATCACAGCACACATACACAGTAATACTGTATATAAATTGTATTATTCGTTCATATAATGGCTATACCAGAGCCCAACTCACGAGTAAATAGTCATCTCAATAGACTATTTCAATTGAATAGTCTATCAATCTTTTTATTTTTAGTAGTCAACCATTTGGTCGGTCGTCTATCTGTCTAATGGTTTGAATATCTTTCTTAAAGTCTATTTAAATATTAAAGGATAAAAATATTTTACAATTTTAATAATTGATCTCTAATTCACTTTTACGTATATTATAAAACATTACAAACTTTAAAAGCATTTGTTATTTTGATTACCAAATGACTGATTGCTAATGAAATCTCTATAATAATAAAGCTTTTGTTAGTGTCTTAGACTCATTTAAATTGCAAATTAATATTCTTTTATATTAAATATCTTAAATATATAGTGTATATATTCAATTGGAAAGTTATCTATTCAGTTAAGTCTATTATTTTTATATTAATTAAATATATATATATATAATAATAATAATAATTATTATTATTATGCTAATTATTCATGTACTAAAATATACATCATTAAAGGTTTTGTAAAAATAAAATCTTTATTATGTGAATTAGTAGATTGTTTATAATGCAGTAAATAAATTAAAATACAAAAATATATATTTTAAATGAAGCATTAAAAAAAATTATGTAAACATCTGTAAAACATTTCCTAAACCTATCAGATCTAAAATATTTTTGTCAATTTTAATCAAAATATTCAAACCTAAAAAACTGTTGCCTTATAACTGCCAAATAATCATTGATTTTAGATAAAGTCAAATTACATGTATTAAAATGATAGTCAATTTATATACTATAAAATGAACTAAATTTCTGTTATATATTGTCGTGGGTTTTAATCAAAAACACATTTATATAAATTTATATATAACCTAATACTGACATTAAAATATATTATCGATTACTAAATAAATATATATATATATAAATACGTGTAGGACCTATATATTTTTGATACACATATTTAATGATTTTTTAAAAAATCATCTAATAATGAGAACACGCATTTGCTAAATATATTAATATATATATAACATAGAAATTAAAATTCAGTGAAAATTGAAAATTTAAAGTAATTTTTAAACACCTGTCAATAGATTGATGAAAAATTGCAATTTAAGGAGAAAAAGGCTTACCATAAAATATGGTGAAAATGAATATCAAAATTGATTTTTTCACCAAAATTTAGCGCAAATGAAACAACTTTTTTATCAACTAAATTCAATGATAACAAACCACATGAAAAAACAATTTTCAAAATTGTTGTTGTTTTGAATTAACAAATTTATAAAGTGTTTAAACTCATGTATTTATCGTTGAGGTTATCACTGATAAGAGAGAAACTGTTTGTTACTTAAAGAGAGAGAGAGAGAGAGAGATAGATCGGTGTTCAGTGTTTTATTGGCGACTCATTTGCCGACAATTTAGTTGTAAGGCCTCACCCATACAACCAAAAAATAACTCCGAGTTTGACAATACAGTAGAGGGTCTTAGAAATAGCCTGAAGGCGATGGGAGTGATCGCCGATGCGATGCTCTCATCCCTAATAACATTGTTGGTTAGCATTGGATAGTATTGAAGACTCGCTTGATATGGTTGTATCGATTCACTCATTATTTTATATATGTTATGCAAACTTTTTTATTATATATATATTTTGAAGAGACTTAAGGTTTTTTAGGAGGGATTTAAAGCCAACTCTACCTATTTAACCATTGAATGACAGACAGGCCATACTGTAGATCGTAAAGTGAGTGCTATAAGACATTGGAGAAGAGAAACATTGATGAGCTTAAAAATATAAGGTATGAGCTCTGCATTGAGGTAAAGGCACTTTTGTAGCTGAGCTCTGCCCTGAGGCTGATATTCAGTAATTGCTCGGCTTCTCATAACTATAACCGGCAATTATATGTATGAGATTGGAGCTGACTTTCAGACTACCAGTGATTCAGTGATTGTTATTATTGTTGAAACTGTTGAACAGTTTCCTTCCAAAACTGTGTGCTTTTCTCTCTATATATGTTTGTTATGTATTGTCTTTAAAAGACAACAATAATCATCTAAAATACACAAAACCATCAAAATGTCTACCAATTCCATCGACTTAGACAACAAACTACTGTTCCAACAAGCGATGGATCAGTGGTTTTGGCCAACTTCTCCATTGTTGGCAAAAACTAAAGATTATAGTGAGAGTCCAATTTGTGAGAAGAAGGTGACCACCAGTAAAACATCCACAACAACAGTGTCGACCACATCGTCAACACTTCATAGGCGACAGAAGAACTGGTGGAAAGTGTGTTGGATTTACAATAACGGACAGTTCATCTGTCATCAGTCGAAACAATCTAATCTCAAACAATTTCATCAACAGCTCCGACAGCTCTCTATGTGCTCCACAGCCAACACAACCAACAGTACTGTCTTTAATAGTACTGTTGACAGATGTATCAATAGGGATGAGTAAGTCATTGATTTCAAGTGACTCTTCATATGTATGAACATCAATGAGTTCACAACTAAATTACATAACAATATATATATATATATATATATATATATATATCTTTAGTATAAATTTGTATCTGTATTTCCCCAAAAAATTCATAACTCATTGAAGCGATTATTATTTGAACGCTTCTCTAGCAGTTAATGACTATTTTTTGAATGAAATACACGACAAACAAAAAAGTCGAGAAACTATTGCAGAGTTTTTTAAAGACTCGAATTGAGAGAAGATTTGTGTGTAAAGTAAAGTATTGAACACTTATGTTGTTATGAGTAGTACTATAGCTCTCAGGTCTTGACACTAGTGTTTATGAGCTTAACATTTGGCTAAACCATAGTTTTAAAAATGTTTTTAATCAAAACATAGTAGACATCAGTCTCTGATTCGTTGGGTTTTTATGGGTAATAGTTTTGCAGAGATTGTTAGTTATCAAGACTTTATAATATACAGTATATGTGTTGTTATATCTCTTTTGTCGCGTTTGACTCGTGTGTCGCCAAACAGTTGTGTACAGAAAAGTCTCTGTCCTTCTCTATGGTCTACTGGTCCAGTGAGCTCATTGAGAGCTACCTGTGCTCATTAGCTATTTAGTTGTTTCACAGTTTGATGTTTTTGCATAGTGTTTGTTCACTTTTATTGTTATGCACCTGAAGTCACTGTCACATTGTATTCAAAAGAAAGTGATCTCAGGTTTTAAAAACATATATTAAAAACACTATTGTATTAACTTATTTTGTTTGGCATAGATTGACAACTAATTTATATAAAAAACATAATGTTTTATTTAAATCAAAATTTATATCACATATGTTTATAAATATATAATGCAATGCTATTAATAGAGATATAGTAATATTAATAAATTTAGTGATATATGACTTTCCTTGCAGTCAACTCTTTTCAATGGCAAAGCCTAACACTCGTGCAGTAAGTGATACCCAAATGAACGGCAATGTGTGTAACGAATCAAAAGTTATGCACAACTTTCCTAAAGTACCGCAACTGACAGCACCCGAACATCCGATGTACGGCCAGATTATTGGACTACCAGAGCCACAGTCAATGATACAGCCAATGATGAGATCGCAGTCTATGTCAAGCTGTTCACAGCAAATGAGCAGTTCATCGGCCACTACTACTACTACTACTACTACTACTACCACATCCTCATCACTACAACAAAGGCTAACACAGCCGTTGACTGCTTTACTCAAACAGAGATCTGAACACAAAAATAGTAATATCTGTCAGTTCTTCATTGACTTTAAGGGTAAATATTTATATTAATTATTATTATAATACAGACAAATGAGTTTCTCCTCCAAAAATCCCACTCCCAGTCTATATTTAAGTTTATAAATATACTCATCATTTGCTTTTTGCCTCATTTATTGTGTGATTATGGTTTAGGAGTTGAATGGAGAGCTCAACAATTGCAATACCAAATGCCAACACATGATATACAGATGTTTAAGTTACAGACAAATGAAGTGAAATTTGTCCGAAACCAGCAAAGGAGGGCCCAAATCAAACCACAGCTCTTCCTAAATAAATCTCTTAATTACTGTTTCAAAGTAATGTCAAAGAATTTAATATCTCATTAAAAATTTATATATTCATTAAAACTTTTTTTATTTCCTATAAAAATAATTGAATAAATATATAGTGTAAGCAATGCATTGAAAATGGTTCGTATGGCGTAAAAATATCAGTACCTAAAAGTGGTAATCAAAATATTGGATATCAAACTACTGGTGAGGATGAAGACAACAATGTTCTCAAAGTCAATACAACCGATACCTCTCAGCCACCATTAAATGGGTCCACAGCTCTCTATCACATCCAATGTTTCATATGTGAAGAATGTCAAGAAGTGTTGGTTGATTTGAAGGCTTTTCTCTATACCAACAGTGATCCTAATGATCGCCTCAAACTAACAAATAGTTTATATTGTAGCCGACATTTTGTTGAACTTTTTAAGCCTCGGTGTCAGTCTTGTGATCACTTGATTTTTGATGAAGAATGTACCGAAGCTGAGGGTAAGGCCTGGCATTTGGGACATTTTGCGTGCAATGAATGCAAGCGGTCTTTGGGCGGCCAACAGTATATTATGGCCGACCCGTCCAAACAAAACGATAAAAAATCAATTTACGGAACCAAAAGTCAAGTGTCAAACAATAACAGACCTCCGAAACTGTTACCATATTGTCTGACCTGTTTTGATATACTATTCGGAGAATTATGTGAAGAGTGCGGCGAATTAATTGGTTGTGATGTCGGCGCCATTTCACATGAGGGCCGGTCGTGGCATGCAATCGACCAGTGCTTCAAATGCAATCTATGCTCTAAAGCTCTTCTCGGGAAACCATTTTTGCCGGCACTCGACGGTAGGATATACTGTTCAATTAGCTGCTCTCAAGAGGCCGTACAACGACAAAGACATCGACCGAGAAAACAAAAACATATTCAAACAACTCCTTCAAATTGTATCAATACTCAGAGTAATAGTAATAATAACTTATTAATTAAATCAAATAATTGTTCAGAAGATCTTATAAGATACCAAACAAAATCAAAGACATCTATAACTCAGATGAGACCAAATGAATCAACTCATAAGATATCACAAGAAGCTAATTGTAAACTACCATTCAATGAGAACTTATATAATAAATTAACTGTTAAAGAGATACCAACTAATAGTGATTTTAATAGTTGTCAACCAAGTGATGAATTAAATGAATTTAATCTAAAATTAGGTGAAATTAAATTATCAGAAACCAAGAGTTATGGATCAGAAAATTCACAACCAAATGATTTTGTCATTTCCATCGATGACCAAAAAGTGAATCAAAGTGTTAACCAAAGTGTCAACTTTGATCAAAATTTTATGGCAGATAATAATCAAATGAATCAACAACTGTTTGAATACATCCAAAGATGTCAGAACAGCACCAAAACTCCAAACCATTTTCTCATGGAATACATGAAACAGCAGTTACTTCACAATGACATCAATGGTCACAATGGTATCATCGGTGCAACCATTGAATGCGGAAGCAGTTTGAGTGAAGACGAGCGCACAAACCAACACACAGTTGACCACAAAGTGATGTACAATACGAATGTTAACTACAATCCTATGACTTCTAAGACATCTTCTGAATCTTCTAGTCTTAATGTAACTCATTTTGATATAAACAATACTCATATTAATGGTGAAAATATAATAAAATACAATCCATCGATAACTCATTCCTCATCATCTAATGAAACGACACCACTATTGCTAAGACCATTGCCAGAGAAAAACAAATCAATAATTCAATTACAAAACATTTCCAAACCATCACTTAATAAGATATCGATGTTTAGTCAACATTCACTGCCACACAGAGAGTCACCATCACAGACATCCCAAACTTCACAGACATCCCATACCACTCAAACATCACAAGCGGACCAATCGTCTAATAGTTCATTCATTGAAAACAGCAATCAAACTAATACTTCAAATACTCATGAGGTTATGGCAGACATAAGAAACACTGTGGATGTAAATACACCATCCACTCAGTCAACAGCTCTCCAATCAACGTCATCACAAACAACACCCGAGACAACCGCCCGAACGGGAAACAAATCGGTGACATTTGATCCGTCGGTTAAAGAGACGACTGGAAAACGCATCTCTCGGAAACCGAGATCGCGATCTACTCATCGAAAAAGTGAATGGACTGACAGCCACTCCTGTTCCACATGTAGTACCTGTTCCTCGTCGTCGTCTTCAAGCGATTACGACGACGACTTTGATTATCAATCGACACTCGAAAGAAATCGTAATCAATGGTTGGGCGGAACCAAAATACAATACGTGTCCAACGATCGCAAGAAAAATGTGACCAACAATGTGGTGAACGGCGACCAAAACCCACACAACAGCGAAAGCTGTACTATAGCTTAAAATTAAACTTTTTTAATGATATTATATTAAATTATATACTATTTATATATAATATACTCTAAGTTATTCAATAACATTACTTTTATTTGCTTAATATTGCCAGTAGTTATAGTATTGGCAATAACTACATACCGTTTCAATTGATGTGATTAACTATAAGCCAATCATCTCATTTGTTAAGATATTATTCAGACAAATAATTATATACTAAGAGACAAGTTTTGATGGTTTATAGTCTATGTATGACTTATGTTGTGTCTCCTGTAGGGATGTCCTCAGACCATATCATAAGTCCTGCAATTAATTTTACATATAATTAATTGCAATAATTTATGCAATTTTTTCATAAATATTTTATATACTAAATATTCTATATTAATATATGAATGATTGAAATATATATATATATATATATACACTCATTATAAATTTATATAAATTAAAATATATAATTTAAATCTAATGTAATATATTTGAATTGATATTATATAATAGTATAAATAAAATTTTTATTTGATAAATGGATTTATTATATATATAAAAAATAAATTTTTGAAATAAATATTAATGCTTTAAACGAAACATAATGTGTATAAAAAATTTAATTAACTTTTTTGAACATTTAGTATATTTGCTAACAAAAATTGATTACTCTATTTAAATAAAATACTATTTAGAAGATTATTAGTTTTGTTGTCATAAATTAAAATATAGTTTTGGGGCAAAAAAATGCAAAAACATTTAAAAGTGTTTGGTCTTAATGTCATTAAGTGTTTTATAACTAATGTTAAGCATTGATTTATTATTTAATTATTGGTTTTCGCTTTTCAAGCAATCTATAAACTTGATGTGTGTTTTATTTATTACATTTTACTAATAAATTGATTGCCATTCAATTATTATATTATAGTTTTTTTTATTAGTGACCATTGAATGTTGACTAACTTATAATTTTAAAGTTATAAAAATATTATATTTGGCAAACAACTTATCTGTTTTTTATATTTATAAGATTATCTCATAATATTATAATTTATGTCCAATAATTGGTATTGAAGTCAAATTAAAAGATTAATAATTTATGTGGTCATTCAAACAACAATTTGAACACAAAATTATCATTTTGATGACAATTATGATAATATATAATTTTTAGAGAATATTATCAATTAATTGTTATAAAACCAATGAAAAATAAAGACATAATTGTATCAATAATCATAACACATAATAACCAGTGTTGGCAAAGACAAAATGTTTGTATAATACAAAGCGTATTATACAGTATAATACAATGTAAAATACATGACCAATTTGACTTACAAAAAATTAGTACTAAAAGCATTAATATAAGCAAAGTAAATTATGTTTTATAATATATATAGATTTAATATTATTTTTTATTGAATTTCATTTTTATTTTAAATTATTTGATTTTTATAATAATAATGCATTTCTAGCAATTATATTTTTACTAAATATTTTTAAGTAATTTTTAACATAATATATATTAGTTTTAAAATTTGTATAATACATTATATTTTACTGTATTATACAAAGTCAAAATTCAAAACCTTGTATTTTTCCAACCCTGATAATAACATATCCTAATTAATATTTTGAATAATCATATTAATTGCTAATCACATTGTCAATAAAATTATTTAAATTTTTCGACAGTAAATCAATTATATGATAATTAAAAAATTGTTAAAATAAAAGATTATAAATATTTAATTGTAATAAACACTTAAACTCTGTGAATATTATTACTATATAATACATTAAACATGTTTTGGCGACACATCCCAAGTCAAACATACTAATAGTTAAACTTAAAGTAATAGCAAATATATTTATATATAAACAAAATATTATACAAAATGTAATATAATTTAAATTTTTATATTAAATATTATATAAGTTTGTGACAAAACTTTTCCGGTAATCCGTTTGGATTAGTATTGTTGTACAATATATTACAATCGCTTATAAATATATAGATATGATTTGCATTAAAAAAGATTAATAATATTATCATTGATTATATCATTGATAGACTATATGAACGGATAATATGATTGTGACAATCGGTCAGACAATGACTTACCGAAAGGACAGTCGACTTACACCACAAACTACCGGAGTGTCCAACGAAATGTCATTATTGTAATAAAGTTATTGACGTTATTATTGTTGCAATCATTGCCCACACATTGTAAGTCATACCACAAACCAAATCAGACATCCTCTGCAAGACTTGTTGTTCAAGTAATGGTTAACCCATTAAGTCGCCGAAGTTTTCCGTTTCTCAATAATCCCTGGTTTGTGGCCATTGTCACTATTTTTGGTTTTGGTTCGGGTTATTACATATTTTCACCCGAATTGCGGACACAAGGAATCGACAGACCTCTGCCGGTCGGACCGTCAAAGGCTGAAGAAGCGTTCAATTTAGACAAACCGTCGAAAAGTATTTAAAACAAACAACCGATTGAATGGTCAACAAGACTGTAGTGAAAGTTGTCTTAAGCTTTGTGGCCATCGGGGCCTCCGTTGCACTAATGATACCCTCATATCGTCGCTATAAAATGCAAACGTTTGACAAAGAAATGAAACAATTCTTTGAGCGAAGAGATGGCCGCAAATGACTGTAGTTATCATCAAAATATTGTCGTCATTAGGCTTTTGACACAAATTATTTCATCAAAATATTTATTAGATTTGATTTTACAATAAAGTCTTTGTTTAGTTAATCATTCAATTGATTCTCTTATTTGTCTAACAATTAAAACGAGTTTAAAATGAAAACCAAATTTATTAACTCTTTTTTAACTTTTCATTGCAATCGGTATTTAAAAACAATTTATTGATTCAATGAAGACATTTGAGGCTAAAATAAATTTTAATTTATAAACTAAATGTAATTTAAATAACAGACTAATTGAATGGTAAAGTATTGGCAACAAAATGAAGACATTTTTGTCACCACTAGATATCTAATCCTCTTTCTTCCACTTGCCGTTAATGAATGGTACGTATTGTAAGACATACTTCCAGTCACAGATGAAGGCAACGCCGACAGCAGCCGCCGAACCGAAGGCCATACCCGACCGGGACCTGAGGTCATGAAATAGAGATCAGAGATTATCATATCGTAGATGAGATTGTGGTCACAATCAATGATGATTGCAATGACATCGATATATCATTCAATCACTATTTGGTTCATTTCTTGAGATATAATTATCTCAAAGTTAAGCATCAATTTTGACCAAAATTGTGAATTCAGATAAAGTGATCAAATAAATAGTGACATTAAATACCAATTTCTTAAATAATAAGCCATTCTTCGTGGTGTCTGTTGAGGCCAAACACCCTTCAAGTGTCCGGACATGTCTTCACTTCTATTATCTTTGGATACCAACTGTGGATCAAATGGTAATAAAAACCAATACAAGAGTCGACTGAATTGATTGTAAACAAGTGATCACTAAAGGAGTCAATCAAAAGGTCGTCAATGATGTCAATGATGTCAATGATGTCAATGATGTCAATGAAGTGATTGAAATACAAGACATCATTTGTGTAGACATTTCTCAAGTGATTATTGTTTATATTGTTGTCAGTCATTAGTGAAGACTATTTTGAGGACACAATCCGTGGCTTTTGTATTGCATTGAGTGAACAATCAGTGAAAGAAGTGGTCATCCGATGTCTCATCTGTTGAAAACTAGTAGTCCTTTGCGTCAGATTTATCGGTAAAAGTGACGATAAGACTGTGAAATGACTGATCATTTTTGTTTTGATTTTTTTTTTTAGTCTTTCGTTGGCCACAAACTCACGATCATTGACAACAAAGACAACACCAGATGGGCTGTCAAAAGATGTATTGGCAGAGAAAAAGGATCCTTCAGTAGAACTGATGGATGCGTTTGTTAAACAACACAAAGAGATCAGAAGTAAGACAACGTTTTTAGCTGAAAACGAGTTGACAATCGCTGACTTCAATGGTGTACCAAAAGAGCATATCTATGAGAGACGGGTCCGCATAAGTAAACCGTCGAAGAATGCCATGCAATCCGGTGCTTACGGTAGGGATAAGTGGAGGATTGAGTTTGAATCGAGAGAGCGATGGGAGAACCCATTGATGGGATGGACCTCAACGTTAGTCTTGCATATAATATAGTGTATTATAATTGATATTAAATTTTAAAAATGTAAACTTCTTTGATATCAGTGGTGATCCGTTATCTAATATGAATCTATGTTTTGCTACTAAAGAAGAAGCGGCAGATTTTTGTCGTAAGAATGGCTGGTATTATGAGATCATTGAACCACAAGAAAGACGAAACTTTCAGAAGAGTTACGCCGAAAACTTTTCGTGGAATAAGAGGACTCGCGTCGGATCCAAATGATGGACAATATCTCTCATAAATATATTTAGACAATTAATTTGTGTGTATTATAATAAATGTTTAGTTTTTGTTTTAAAAATTGTTATTTTGATCCATAGATAATAAATTGCAATTATAGGTCATTATAGTGTTTATATTGAAATCTTTAAAATACTAATAATTATGATATAACTATCGTATGTCTTATAAAAGTGTGGTAAATATAATAAACTGAAATTATTTTTAGTCATCGATAGTGATATTTTAACATTAAGTTAATATAGTAATGAAATATTTATAAAAATTAATTTTAACATTTTAATAGTAAAAATATCATGGTAACTTTAATGAGTATTTAATAATAACAATATATATATATAATTTCAATCATCATTAATATCAGAAATATAAAGTATTTGTTTTGTGTATAAAAATCTAAAATTTATTATTTGCTAAGAAAGCCATCAATTTTTTTATTTATTTCTGGCACCGCTTGGAACAGATCAGCTACAAGACCGAGATCTGCCACTTGAAAGATGGGTGCGTCCGGATCCTTGTTTATGGCAACAATCGTCTTGGAGTCTTTCATTCCGGCCAAGTGTTGGATGGCTCCCGAAATGCCGACCGCTATATAGAGTTCCTGTAAATGATTTTGTCGATTAATATATAGTAATAGATTATAATATACGGTAATATACAAACCGGTGCCACAATTTTGCCGGTTTGTCCAACTTGTAGATCGTTTGGCACAAAGCCTGCGTCAACGGCCGCTCGAGAGGCGCCGACCGCTGCGTTCAGTTTATCGGCCAATTCGTATAACATCTTAAAGTTGTCTCCACTTTTCATTCCCCGTCCGCCAGATATTACTCGCGAAGCACTCGTCAGTTCTGGTCTTTCACTTTTAGTCAATTCTTGACTCAACCACTCAGACAAATCATTTTTCGGTACTTCGGCTTGCAGTTGATCTGATTGTGCGTTTCCGCCTTCAACATCGGTAGCCTCAAAGGATGTCCCTCTAACTGTCATCACTTTAATAGCGTCTTTAACTTTGATGGTCTGCATTGCATTTCCCGCATAAATCGGTCGTACAAATGTATCCTCACTTTTAACAGCCGTTATCTCTGAAACGGGCGAAACATCGAGTTGTGCGGCAACTCTTGGGATCAAATTCTGTCAACAATAACAGTGTTAAAAGAATTATTAATTAAATCTCTTAAACTCTCTCCAAATCTCTCTCTCAATAATAATAATAATAATACTTTTCCGACTGCTGTGGAACCGCTTATAATATGCGTAAAATTGAACTGTTTTTGTGTGGCCAACACTACCGGTGTTAACACTTCGGGTAAAAATCCTTTGAAGGCCTCATTTTCGGCAATCAATATCTTACTGATGCCCTTAACTTTAGACAAACTCTGGACAACATCGGACACTTTGGTGCCGACCACCAAACACGACACGTCGGACCCGATCTTATTGGCCGCACTTATAGTATTCAATGTAACCTTAGATAGGGAACTGTTATTGTGATCCACAATCACTAGAGTACTGGCAAATCGATTGCCATTCAATTGATGGCCATTTGTCGATAATCTCTGCGGTTTTTATAAACAAATAATTAAATGTTTTGTGTATACATAATGTAAGGCCACTGTCGGTCACTTACGGCCAGTCCTGAAGTCAACAAATATTGTCTCAATGGTGTCCGCAACATATCTATTGTCCACTAAATTGTCCACAAATTTTCCGATTAATAAGTTTAGCAGTGATTTAAAAGTCTTTAGACTTTGATCTCAATTATCATATATTAACTTAAGTTATAATTTATAAGTCAATCAAATGATTGTATAAAACATTAATAATAAATAACGTCTGAAATGGTAATCAAAGTTTCATAAAATAGAGGATATATTTTCAAACCCAAACCAAACCGTATGTTTAAAACCGAAATTGATATAACTTTAACAATTGGTTATTATAGTTAATAGTAATTAAATTTTTGTTTAGAAAATTTACATAAAACTCACAAAAATATTAAAATTAGTTAAAAAACAATAATATTTTACGTTAACTTCGTCTACTAATAAACAAAAAATATATGTAAACATTACTACTCTAATAGTATTTGAGATCTAAAAACTAGAAGATAATATATGATAGCATTATCAAAATAAACTTCTAAAAATTATGTCTTTAACAGTATTTAACTTAATACTGGCTTACAATTATAAATCAAACAATAGCTCACATACTCAACCATCAGTTTAAAATTATTCACTTACATACAAACATCCTGTAATGCCGGGAAATTTTCACTACTAAGATATTTAATTATAAATATAAATTAAATTTAAATATATATATATATGTATTAAATTTTAGTTGGCCATTTTGACCATGTTCAATAATTATTTTATCCAAATTTAAAGTCAAAATTTAAAAATTCATAGATTAAATGCAACAAACAAATACATATAACAGAATCAGATAACATTAAAAAAATAGGATATAAAAATGCAAAGATTAAAAAAACTAAAACACTGTATAACTATTATCCTAATATAAATTTTAATAAATATTAAATTACAAAAATTAATAAATTATTTATTGATTTTTAATATGTGATAATTTATATAGTTATTAAAATAAGTAATTATAAAATATTTACAAATATCATAAATAGAATACAGTATATACTGTAAACTATATACTACTGTATATACATTAATATAATATAGTTTTAATACATTTGACATTTAGAGTTAAAATATTTGACAAATAAATATACTATCAATAGGTTGCACCACACGAGTTGCCCAGAGTTGGCTATAATACCGGTGCGCTATATGTGATACTAGTAGTCGACTGAACACAAGTTTAGTTAGGGCTCAGACGTCAAGTAAATCTCACGCATTCATTGATACTTACATTTGGAATAATAAATGAAAACTTTTTTTTCGATTCTTTTATCATTTTGTTCGCTGACCCAAACCCTACACACCCGACCCACCGGACCTATTGGTCATTCAGTTTTTTAATATATATATTATATTATATATATATATAAATTATATATAATTTTTTTGTGTTGTGTTAATTGCGTAAAAACATCCAAAATTCGTGTCAAAAATAGAGCCCCCGTTCCCTCCTATCAAATGGGTGACCCAAACGACTCCGATATGGATGGAAGTATAGTAAGTTTTTTTTAATTTTACTTTTTTCTCACATTTATATCACATTTATATCTAGTTTTTTTTAAATATTATTATTATTAAAGACTTTATAATAAATTATATAACTTATATAATATAATAAGTTATAAGAATATCATATCTTATATTCAATATTATTCTCAACTAAACTAAAAAATACAAAATTATGTGAAATTATCTGAAAGAATAAATAATGTATTTTTATATAAATCTTTTTTTTATACATATATATATAATTATATGATTCTATGGAATATAACAATTTCTAATTATAACAATCATATAAATATAGTATAATATGAGAACACGATTTTCAATAGCGTGTCTACCGTTTCCTCAAATCATTTGACAACTTTTTCCAACTTCTCCTATTGTCTTCATTTATCATACATTACAATAAACAGTATATATATGCATATTGTTGTGTCTCATATCAACTACAGATTATATATAATTTTATTTTTTTTAAAAAAAAGTTGAATTCAAAATCTATAAACTGTAAATTTTATGGTTATATTGTATGCCAATTATTATTGTTATTCCAATTACCAGTGATTTTATGACAAAAAATGTTTGTTTCTCTCCCTCTTTATTATTGAGATACTATTTTTTGATTGCTTTGATGTGATATTGCATGCAATATATTGTGAGAGAAGAGAGTGTCAAAGTCGGGACAGTTTAACGAACTTATCGTAAAAATTGTTAAATTATTGAAAAAGCTTAACAAAGAATTGTTGATTTGAAACAATAATTATTAATTATTTCTACACTATAGTGGAGGGGAGGGTAAGGGAGACAACATTAAGTAATAGTTTCGTCGACCTGTAATTGTAAGCCATAAATGATTCACTTCAATGATATGACAACATATGCTATATATATATATAGTGTATATCATGTAATGTATGTTTAATATTAAAAAACAATTGTCTTTTACATAAAGTTTTTCTTGTTTTCAATATGTGTTATTTTTAAATATATTAAATATAATCACTGTATTTAATGGTTACTCATAATCATAGTGCATGATATCGGTATGGGTGGCTGGGCTTATAACTTATAATTGTACTTCAATTTTATTTCCAATTGCCTACATGTGCCTCGTTATGTCAGTGCTGCTATACTATATATATATAGAAATATATATACTGCATATACCTGTATTATATACATCGACATTTATATGCCAGGTCTCGTTTTACTATCAATTTAATTTAAATTTGATAACATTAAACCAATGTAAGCACTAGTATAGCACCGGCAGCTCATCACTCTACGGATGAATTGCGACTAAGAAATGATAATAAAAATATAGTTATGCTATAATTACATATTATGTAATGAAAGTAATATTAATGAACATAGATTTCAAATACATGAGTACATCAAATATAATATTTTATGACAAATATAAAACATATACTTTAAAACTTAATGCAAACTAAGAAAAAAAATTATGATACTTTTATTTGTTGTTTGTCTTGAATTAATTATTTTTTTTATTTTAAAACATTATTTTGAAAGCAATATATTTAATAAATATAGTTTGTCTCAGCTTTTCTTTTAACACATTAATGAACATTTGATGTGAATATAAATGTGATTTAATTTGAATTTTTCATTTCATTGGAGTCTTGTTAACCGTAAATACTGTATATTTGTGTTGATTTTGTTTTATTAGTGACTATAGTGACGGCTCATAGAAAAGCCAAACAGAGTAAAGATATATAAAAAGATATAAAAAAAAAAGTTAAATAAAACTAAAACAAAGTACTGTTTTTTAGAGCACATGGAGTAAAGGTTTGTTGATTTAATGGTTATTCGTTATAATTTCAATTTTAATGTTATTTCTCCCTTTCTTTTGCTATTATATATAACATATGCATTACATTTACATCTTAAATATAAATGTGAATATTTATCCCAATGAAACTTAATTGAAAAAGTTTTTATGATTTTTTGAAAGGAAAATTTGCATTTAGTTTATCTTAACTCACAAATTGGATGTCTATTTTTCTAATTAGATTTTATAAATAAATGCCAACATATTTGTTATATATATATACAACCATATTATTTATATATATATATATATATAAGCTTCAAATTTATTGATACATAAAAAGCAGTTAATTTGAGATACGTTTTTGAAAATGAGTCGATTTTGCTGAAAATGAGCACTTAATTTACATTAATACGGGAAAGGGAGGCAATTGGAGTGGTATGGCATGGATTGGTATGCGGACTCACAAATAACCAAATACTGAATAACTTTATAGTAGTTTTTGTTTCTAAATATACTTTTATTCAGTTTTTTTGTGCAAAATCTATAAAATTTGGCAAATATTAAAATCGTTTGATTGATTTATTTTTAAGTAGATTTCTGGTAATACGTTGCGTCTAATTAACACAAATTATTGCATTGTTTATCTAGTTATCTAATTATTAATAAAATAAACTTTTAAAAAATAAAACAATTACAAAAAGGAGTTAATTTTAAAGAAAAACTAATAATATTCATATATTTTTGTTAATCAGTAGTGGGAACTGAGTTCAGGGATTAGTTGTTTGCAAATTGCAATATAAAAGTCATAAACTAGTTTATAACAAATAGGAGAAAACTTTTTTATGCTGAAAATAAAAAAGATATTCCGTTATAATGTTTTTTTGTCGCCTGATTTGATAGTTAGCCAAAATTGATGTTCAATATCGAGAGTTTAGGAGTTAAAAAATAAAACATAATTAATACGCGCAAAAAAACATTCATCAATATATCAAATGCTATATTATTGCTTAAGACATCAGCTATTTATAATATAAGTGATCTCTCTCTCTCTCTCTCTCTCTCTCTCTCTCTCTCTCTCTCTCTCTCTCTATCCGATTGACTCTCTTAATGATGTTTTCTATACTCATAACATATATATCTACCATAAATTTTATTGAACTAAAAATTTTACTTTTGATTTTCAGTTGTTTTTAAAATATAGTGAATAACAAAATATATAGAGAAAATGTAAAAATAAGATAAATAATTATAATTATAGATCTCAACAGAAAAAATTGTTATATTTTTAAATATTTTAATCGTATTTACTTTTTTAGTTCATGAGAGGGATTGGGAGTATAAAAATATGTGATGTAAATTGAATAGCATTTACTAAAAATGTTTAATAATAAATTGTATCGCAAACTATACTTCATTGGATGAACACATGATAGGAGTCAATCATTCAATTAAATATAACAAATGTCTAAATTAAAAAATATATATAATTTATATTTTATTTAAAGTTACTTTTATAAACACATTTTAGCAAATACTCTAAATATTTATAATTTATTAATTTTTGTAATTACTAACAAATGTATAGAATTTTAAGTAAATTTTTTCTTTTAAAAAATTATTTACAGAGAAAAGTGAGTGATGTGTGTGTGTGTGTGTGTGTGAGAGAGAGAGAGAGAGAGAGAGAGAGAGAGAGATAATTTATAATTGAAATCTTGATATCATTTTTCAAGTTTTGTCATTACATGTGCTGACTCTACTATTTTTGTTTACTATTGTATTGCTAACCATTGTTAGTAACTCAACTGAGATGTGAAGTCAACATAACTTTAATTATAATTTTATTTTTGTATTATCTAATAAAACATAATATATATCTATTTATAGCAAATGCTATAAAAATAAGCAAAATTAAAAATATAAATTTTTGATATTAAATTCATGTAAATTTACATTTTAATCTCTCTCTCATTCAATCATAATTGTCATGAATTTAAATAAATTTAGTGTCTCATTATTTTATTATTATTTATTAATTTTTATTTTATTTTAAATATATAATGAATTATTTATAATAGTTTTCATTAATTTTTTGGAAATTTTAAAGTGCAAACATAAAATAAATTAATATTAAATTTAAAGATAAAACTATATATAAATAATTTTTATGATTGATTTTTCGTTGAGCTTTTCATTTAGATTAGAAATTCTTGAGTGTCTAATATTATTAATAAGTGGTCTCAAAAAAGTGAGACAACTATATATCAAATTAAAGAAAAAAGTTTTATAAATATGTCAAATGTGTGAATAAATAAGTGTTGGAGTGTGTGTGCAAATCATTGCATTTTCATATATGGTTTGCATTCAATTTTTAGACTATAACTATAAATGTTATGAATAATTTTAATCTTTCATACATTTGATTGCATATAAAAAGCCAATGACAGCACAGATGCACAATATGTTATAAATAACAGATTAATTTATTAAAGGGGGGCTAAAAAACTTTCATTTTATTAGAGAGTGTGCTCTCTAGCACTTACTGTTATAGGAAGTCAATGGATGCCATCTCTAACTTACTGGATAGGAAAGAGAGAGAGAGAGAGAGAGAGAGAGAGAGAGAGAGAGAGAGAGAGAGAGCAAGTATTGCTTGAAATAAGAATTATGATTCATATTAAGTGATATTAAATTTATTAAACATCTCGTGATTCACATATAATATATTGTATAATATTTTCAGTGCACTGAGCTTTTTGTTGCTTTTATTAAATGAGTAATCATTTATAAAGTATTTATATAGCGTTTTGTAGTTTATATTAGACAACATTGAGTGCTGTTTTCATTGGCACTCATGAGTGCCAGCAATGAGACTAAGTTATTATTAATAATGATCATAATAAATATAATAATAATAAAAACAAAAAATATTGTTATAATAATAATTGGATAATATCTTTGCCTACCTTTACATACATTAAAAACTAAAAACATGTAATATATGTCGTAAATGGACCCGAAATCCGGATAAAAGTGAAACTAACAGCTCTTCATATATGAGACGTCTGTCTTGAGCTTAGATTTTATTAAAAACAACAAAATTTTAAAGAAATTATTATTATTATTTAATTTAATGTTTTATTCATATGAAATAAAATTATTTATAAATAATATATATTACAAGACATGTTTATGTTTAACA